TTCTTCCTAATATCCAACCTAGATTCTGGTTTGTATCCATTTAAATATTAAAAAAAAAAAAAACAAAACCAAACTGTCCAACCACACAAAAAACGCCTCCACCAAAAAAAAAAAAAAACCTCCACCAAAAAATGAACAAAAGAGCACAAACAAAAACCCCACCCAACCCAGAATCTATTTTCCAGATAGAAAATGGTTAAAGGAAGAAGAGAGGAAAGTATGATGCAGGTATTTTTCTGTAGATGTCTGCTGAAATTTTTAAGAGGTGATTAAGTGTTAGTATGTCTCCATTATGAAATTTCTCTTTATTTTTAAAATCAATTTGTCTACTTACTTAGTGTCTCCCCAAGCTATATAAGCAGTAGAAATGGCTTCATGACATCTAGGGAAAGGATCTAGTACAGGAAATGTCTTCAAATCAGAACTTCTTTAATTGCATTAGGTATCAACATCCCAATCTTATGAATGACAAGTGGAGCATTAACTTAGATAAATCTGAGTTCTGAACAAAGTCCAGCAGGAAATTTGTCACAGAAAATGTTCTCATGTTTCATATTTCCTGTATATTTTTTTTTTAAAAGCAGAATATTTCAAGTTCTTGTGACATGACAGCTACTACAGAAATAGGTCAATAAATACAGATGCAATTCTCAAGAATGCAGATGTGAGAAAGGTAGGCAAAAGTTCAAAATTAGGTGAGAACATGTAGTCTTTCCCTGTTTGATGAAAGTATACAGACTTGAGGGAACAGTCAGTTTGAAAAGTTAGTGTGCATAGGAGATGTGAATGTGAAAATACAAATAATGTCATGCACTGAACCTTTTGTTTTGGCTAAAATTTAAAATAATGTAAAATGTTTCATTCAGAAGTATAAGTTGTCTTTAGTTCCAATGGGGTGCACATTTCAATAAGTGAATCACATAAAAACATTGTTCAATCACACCTCTCCCCTTGCTCCTCGAGGGAATTTGCTGTTTTCATTCAGAAAAAGTTGTCTGTTTCACAGGTTGATTAAAATGAACTTTTTTAGAACCTAAAAGTAGCAAAGCAACTAATACTGTCTGGAATTAAATCAGGTAACCTTGATCAAACAATTAACTCATCCTCTATTAAATCAATATTTACTGATGCTAATACTGGAACTAGTTCCAGTAGTTGGAATTACAGCCACTCATTTAGTGTCTTTATTATTAGTAATTAGGTTCCTGTCTTTCTCCAGTTCTGCTTCTCAAAGCTGGTACTTGGCTTACATGTAGAAAATGGCCTGGTCTATTGACCCAGAGTGCATGCTCCGCACACAGCTGAAGATGCTTTGTAAGGCTGACAGCCCTTTCTGGCTGTGTGACTCCATGAGGACTGAAGCAAGTTCAGGTGCATGTTGCTACAGCCCAACCTAGACTGACTGCTGTGGAGCCATGGCTTAGGGCTATTTTAGCAAATAAACTCTTGTAAATAACAGGGAGAGTTCCAGCAGTTGCATTATCAGTATATTCTCATTGGATTTTTTTTTTTTTGTCATACAGCTGCAGTGGTGGTTTTGTGGCAGCTTCAGTTCACAGGGGTTCTTGACACCCCAATAGTATTCTATCCATTCTCAGCACTCCTAGTAGGGCGCTTAACTGTGACAAATGATGAACTAATTAACACTGATGCACTAATGTGGTCATGAAGCTCTCTACTAGACCCTACTAGACCTTTATTTATTCTCTTTTCATTGTATAATATATTCTTTGCTTCTTGAATCTGCTTATGTTCTTTTGGATATTAAATTACCTTCAAACAATCTTATATAGGTCAATCTTACCCTTGTTTGGGGAAGGATTTTTTTCAGCACGATTTCAGGTCTGCAGAAGTATCTCCATGTTTGTTCTGCTCCTGATCTAGCTGAAGAGAAACTGTTCCAGTATTTTTCAGATCCTGAAAGATGCTTTGGTTCATATCTAGTATTGCATAATCTAAGATATGCCTAATGAATACATGTGATAAAGTGGGAGATGCAACAGCAAAATTGCAGTAACAAATACTAAAGTTTAATAATGGGATTGCAATGTAATAGTTACAGTAGGACATAATATTAGACTAGCTTAATATTCCTCTGACCTTCAAACTTATTTCTATTGCTCTTGAATTTATGCTTGTTAGCAAAAAGCATCCTGCTCCCAAGTATGGGTCCATTATTATGATTAAGACATGGATTCCTTTTCCTTTGAAAGACAGGAAATAAAGAAAATTGTTGGAATATAAGTTCTGGAACTGTTACTTTGTCTGTGACCCCCAAACCGGCATCAAGACAAGTGAAGAAAATACTCTTTTTATATTATAGCTAAATTTATCATTTCCTAGATACAGGGGGTTTTTTGCAGTGGTTAAAAGCCTTTTTTTATAAAATTGTGTATTATCTTCCAGGCCTGTAACTTTTGAGTGGGGGGCTGTTTTCACTGATGTTACTTTTTACTGTAATAGAATGAGACTAACACAATGACTTGGTTGTTAATTGCAGGCTGGCAAAAGAAAAAATTATGTATGAAAAAGAAGCGAAACAGCAAGAAGAAAAGATTGAAAAAATGAAAGCTGAAGCATGCGATGATTATGGAATTAAGAAGCAGGTAAACTATTCCTAGATCTTGTTTTATAAAATCCTTATTGGTTTTCATTTAATCATAGTCATCTTCAGAGAGAGGAATCTCCTGTACTTTTTTCTAGACTCATGTTATATAAATATTAGATTATAATTGTGACATAAAAACAGCCATAGAAATTTCTTGAAGGTGTTAAATTGCAAGGATTATAGTTTATATATATGTATATGATTACTTAGTACTTTATGTCACGATGACTGTCACTCACTCTGTGTGAGGCCATCATGGACTCTTTCTTGGAAATATGGAGAACCTGTAGTGAATACATGGTCTCAGTGGATGTAGGTAAACCAAGTACTTGCTGCTAACTGGAAATGTTAGAGCAAAATGAGAATGCCCAGTATTTAATATGAAGGGGAAACATTTCAGCTCTTGAGTATCCTTTTTTACTCACTAGTATCCTTTTGGTAAAATCACAAACCTCAGAGAAAGAAAGCAGTGTGAAGCTGCTGGAGTTTGTAGTGAAGTCATAGATTAGGAGGGGGCATGCTGTACTTTGGTCTGCTCAAGAGTACAGTGTAGTGTCACTGTTAGTATGATTACATTTTTTCTTGGAAGGTTTACCACAAGGATGGTGGTTGCAGACAGTTGGTACATACCCTTTTGGGAGAAAAAGTGTCACATCTACCCACAAGAGGAACATGGATTTGGGAGATTGGTGTTTATTCTTTACAGAAGTGTGAAATGTCTGTGTTTCACTGTGGTCCTCATATTATTTCAACTAACTATGTTATCTTTTGATAATGTTTTTTGTCCAAATATTTCCAAGATGTTTTATCTCAAATCTTCACAGAAATCAAAACTGTACTAAAATTATTTTCACTTAATTGTAATAAACATAACCTTCTGGAGTCCTGTATTTTTTTTTAAACAATGGAAGAATAGGTTAAACAAAATTCAAATACAAAATTAGCAAAAGATAGGAGAAAGCCTTTCTAGAAAAAGTTAAACCAACTTTTTTAGTAAATTCATATTTCAGTTCATATATCTATGTCCTGCCTTGCTTTCATTATGCCATGGGAATGAAATACAAAGAATTTGTGTACAAATAAAGATTTGTATTTATGGAGCAGACTCGTCTTCTGCCTCACCAGACTGAGACTTGAAGATGTACAAAACAACAGCCTTTCTGAAGATCTGGTGCTAACAAAAACTAATGAGTTCAATTCCTATTTTTAGTGTTGTCCATTCATCAGATTATTTGACTGTATCATGGTATTTCCACAGTGATCTGCAAGATATCATGAAAGTCAAAACCAGTGATGGCTGTGAACTTCTGCTGAAATTGTTACCTACTACTTGAAAGTCTTTCTAGAGACCAATGACAAAAGCCTTCACAGGAAACAGTCTTGATTCATTCAGAAATTGCCTGATCCACTTTGAAAGCAATCAGATTCTCCAATGACGTTTTCATTTCTTGTTTATTCAGCACACTTTGCATTCTGGAAGTTGTTATTTTAGGTTATTAAAATTTGGAGACTTCAAAGAAAGTTATATGGTTCCAGGAGAGTTTGCTCAGAACAATATTTTGGATACAGTAAAGACTTTGAGATCATTTTCAGAAAAAATATCTGTAGTTACCCATTTTAAGAATTGCTTCTAGTTAATCTCTAATTTCTTAAAATACAGTTGTAATCTTTATCTTGGTAATGAAAAGTAACATTTGGAGGGTGGGAATGAATTCAGTTACTTGAGACTAGGAGAATAGTTTTAACTATTAGTTTAGCTGAGGTATTGACTAAATCATATATGTGTGTGTGTGTGTCTGTGTGTCTGTGTGTGTGTGTATTTATGTATTTCTATACATGCACAAATCAGTCCAGAGTTCAGGCAGGGATTCTTAAAAAGCCTAAAAGCAATACTTTCTCTTGATATAGTACTGTTTTCATTTAGCTTTCTAGTTATAGCTCAGAACATACAGTTTTACATACAAAAGTGAATACGGAAAATTTCACTTTAAAGTGGAAAATACCATTCTTACAGCATATGTAGTCTTTAGAGTATGTCTGGTCTGTAATGAGGGATCAGTCCCTTTTTAGAACAATAGGTTTTGATTCAGTATTTTTCTCGTAACTCCTTATGCATTGGGACAACTCATGGTTCCAGTGGACTCAAGTCTTCTCTAGCTGAGGCAGTGACCATCTGGGATGGTTGGCAATTGTTACATGCTAGCCCTCACCTGAACTGTCCAGAAGGACTTGCTTAATGAGGAGCAGATTCAATACCAGGAAAACAAAAAGGACAGTTTTCTTGCAATGCTGTTAGATGCTGAAGATTCCATTGCAAGAAGACTTCGTTGTGGTAATAAATATTAAAATACTTCTGATTTATCCCACCAGGTGCAAGTTCTGCTTATAGTTTCTCTGGGTAGCAAGAAGTAGTGTAGTTCTAACTGCCTACTGATTTTGTCTTAATGAAGTCTTAGTTTCTACTCAGTTATAACAATTCTCAATACATGAAGACTTTCCACAGGACTTCATAATACTACTTTAATAGAGAATTTTCACACAGTATCATTCAAGTGCAAACTCTAATGTTAGAAACTTGTAGCTTTCTGTGTTTCTGTGGTTGTTGATGTTCATATATAAATAAATATCCTTTCACAGCTCATGCTTTTATTTTGAGACATGTGAGCTGGGGGAAAGCAACAACTCTGTGTTTCCTCTCTCTGGGATTGTAGATATACTCTGGTGGTTTTGCTAATTGGCAACATTTTTACTGATAAGTGGGTGGTAAATTTTCCATTTTTTGAATGTAATTCTACAGTTCCAAGTTACTTCTTAAGTTTTGTTATTTCTAGATGAATTAAAAATCCAGTGGATTTAACACAGAATTTAATCTCTGCGTGTCAAAAGTACTTAAGAGTATATAAAGTACATCTTGCTCATACAGTTTTTTTCCAGTATTTGTGAAAACTGCAATATTTCTCTTGCTTTGTTGAGTGAAAGAGTACCTTCTGAAACAGCTAAAAAGACAGGCATTTGGAAATTATTTGCTGTTTCGGAAAATAATGTGAAAGATGGTAATTTGCTGCTGATCTTGTTATTCATGGATTCTTGCTGAAAGGCAGGTTGTAATGTTCTAGAACTTTTAAAATGTCTTTTTAGCCTCAAAGAAATGTTCTGGTTAGTTGGCTTTTTACATGCTTAGCTCTTTCCAACCACCCACCTGATTGGTTCAAAGTTCCTTCTTCTCACAGATTGAGCAAGATTAGATTAAATGTGCTGTTTTACATCAGTCTGATTATTTGCATAAGTACTTTTTCTGCCCCCTAAGAATAGATGATCTTTGTTTAATATAATGAATTCTAGCTCTAGATCCTTGGTAAAGTTGCAGTGGAAATGCAAGTGAAGACCAAATGCTTCTCCTTATATATTTTGACACTATCCTTAACAAAAGCGCAGTTTGTTTGCCGAAAAGCCAGCAACTTGGAATTCTCTGTACCAAATACCATACGATATCCCTAACACAGACCTGGTATTAAAGACGCATTCAAACTTTATGAAAGAAACCAAATTATGAAGAGGCATTACTGTGATCCTCCTTTTCCCCTTCTGTTTTCCAAAGAGTGTTTTCCTTCTTATCTAGGCAGATATAGTACCTTTTGGATTCTAGACTTTATGTCTTTAATGTCCTAAAGTGATCTGCTTTAGAAGAAACAGGATTAGATCTTAACTGAGAGGAGCTGCAAAGAAAACTCATTTGAAATACCAAGGTATTACATCTAGAGGGTTTTCTCCTCCTCCATCAGTTTTCATGCTAGAGGTGGTAGGTAGTTCATTGTTGACACATGGCCATTTCTTGAAGCACTCAAGCACTGTAGAAACCAAACTGTGTTTCCCAGTTTTTTATTGCTAGGTCTTTCAGGAGTCTTTTGATTAATGTATTTGACAACTTGCCTAAAGCAAGTGTGCTGTTGTATCCTGTATTTGTGGATGGTTCAAGCTTCTTTTGGGCCTGGAAGCAAGTAGAACTCATAAAATTGTGTTTCCTACAATTCTTGTGTGCATTTATGGGGTTTTTTTTTTTGTGCCCATATTCACCTTAATGCTGTATCTCCTTTGAGTTCCCTATGCCTAGCTTCTTGCTACATTATCTATGCTGTACTACTCCATAGATCCCTACACCACAATCCTGGCCAAGTACATTGATATTACCAAGGCCCAGTACCTTGATACTACTCCTGTTTACTGCTGAGATGAGAAGTACTGCCATGGTGTGGATTTAAGCTACAAATATGGATTAGCCTACCAGTAGCCTTAGCATGATTATTTATTGTGTGCTATTAGTGGAATTACTAAATTTTGGAACCTTGGTTTTTGTAATACTTAGAGGTTACTTTTTTCTTTTAGTCCCTCTCCTTCCACCAGATGTGGCTGTAATTAGTTAATGGATTCCAAGTGCTTTACAGACTTTTTGAGGAAAAGTAGTTCAAACCAGTAGCACTTGTTTTAGCAAACAATTTTCTACGTGTCTTTTCCTTACCTCTGCCATCTTTGAGTAGATCCATACTGTTAGGATTATCTGTGCAATAGAAAACAGTCAAGTGATTATGTGACAGTATTTAAAAGCTAGACTATATATTAATTTTTGTGTATGTAATTGGTACATATATGACACATTTACATTTGTCATGGTTTCTAGCCTACCTTTTCTGTTCAGAACACCACTCTTTTCACGTGAAACAATACTGGCATTATAACCTGTGACCCAGTAGTATATCAGGGTGTCCTTCTAAGCGCAAGGAGAACCCTATGGAATTTGTTGGGGGTTTTTTGTTTTATTTTGCGGTGGAGTTTTTTGTTGCTTTCAAATTATTTGGATCTACATATCTATAAATCTCTTGGTTAGATGTGGGTCAGTTGGGAAAAAAACCCAAATCAACATACTCTGCTTCTGGTTTTTGAAGCTGATAAAACTAATATCTCTCCCTCCCTCATTATTATTACTGCATTTTTAAAAGTTATTAAATTGTTCTTATCTCAGCCCACAAGGTTTATCTTTTCTTCCTGTTGTCTTCTCCCCACTAGGCTGGGGGCAGGAGCAAGTGAGCTGCTGCCTGGTACTTAGTTGCTGGCTGGGGTTGAATAATAGTCTTAGCTGGAGTTGGAATTGCTCTGGTCTGGTCAGTGGAATTTGAGTTGCTGCAGTGCATGTCACAGGGATGGAAATGGCTGCAGTGCCTGGCATTGGAGTTTGGGTGGCTATCGTGCTTGGCACCCTTACAGTTCCGTCTGAAACTTGGGCAGAATTTTTATAGAATTTAAAGAATAAACGCTTTTAAAAATCCAGTCAAAAAGCTTATATAATTATTTGAACTTTTTACTTTACTATGTATATTTGTAAAAGTAAATAGTCTTATCTGAGATTATCAGCATTTTTTGAAAAGAAATTGGTTTATGCAGAAGTTAAATCATAATGGGTGCACAAAATTCCTGTTCTCCCGGAACAGTCTCCAGCTGTTTGCACTTACTGAATATAGTTCTAGGACTTATCATCTTTCAGATTTTTATTTATCATTGCACCACTGGCACATATAAATAAAACTTGGGTAGCCATTTGGAAATCAGTCAAATATTGTTTTGAATCAAATTATTTGGGTAGATTTGTTTATTTCTTAGAGCAGGCAGGACTATAGCTTACAGAGTCAAGATTTACATGCCTTCCCAGGTCGCTTCTCTAGTGGCACATATCAAATAAGTTACTAATTTCATATTATCTGTTTAACAAGCTTTACAACACAAAAATATTTCATATCTGTGTGGCACAAGGAAGTAATTACTGGATATTCTCACTCCTGTAGGTATTCTACTACATAAAGCAGAAGGCATCATATCATGCAGTTTATGGCACACCTCATTCTATGGCTGTTACATTGACTGATTAAAGTGTAAAATTAGAAACTAAAGTTTTTTCTCTCAAAACCAAATGGTCTTAAGTGACACTTAAAAACTTGCTGATAATATCTTGTTACACAAAGCCTTTCTGAATACATAAATGCATTCTTAACTACAGCTTAACATCTTTTTACAATGACTTTTTGATACAGCAGCATTAATACTAGCAGGATGATACCACATAGGAATGGCAGAAAGAAAAAAGCGATTTAAAGAGAAGGCTTTCTGTTGCAGGTTATCCTGAATGGAGATGTTTCATATCTAAATATCTAACAGATTTTAATTCCTAAATAGATTTAACGTTACTGAACAACTCTGCACATCTTTTCTTCTCAGTGTTTGGTGTTCAGATCCAGAAATGCTCCATGAAATAAATGTTCCCTTTCTTAAAACTGACGTTGTTTTCTTTAGGAGGTGGCAGGATTTTCAGATTCAGTGGGGTGCCAGTTTAGTAATTTTGTTCAAAGTGCATGGTGAGAATAATCTTTCTCCTAAAATGAAGCACAAGGATATGTAATAACTTTTTATGCATGATAAGCATCAAAAATATGAGCCTGCTGGTCTTTGCTTTTCATTTTTCTTTACCTTTGTCTTTCAGTCAGAGCCTCCTGCAGTCTGCACACAATGTGATCAATAACTCAATAACTTTTTTCATGCAGTAATTATCTCTATGGGGTATTATCTGAACATTCTTTTTCTTTATTACCCAAAAGATGCAGGAGATATTTATATAACCAGCTGATCCCCTTTTGGATGAAGCTGCTTCATGACAGCAGGAGAAAGTTTGTTCTAAATAGACTTTTTAACAACTGCTGAAAACCTTACTAAGCTGTACTTTTTGGCCAAGGGAAAGATTATTCTGAATACTGTCTTGCACTTAAAACTTGATATTCAGTTATGCATAGAGTAAATGTGCTGTAAATTAACGGAGTTTTAAGCAATTATGCTAAGTGAATTCTTTTAAGAAAAGAAGCCTATTCAGAAGATATGTGCAATTGTTCTGAAGTTCCTAGATAATGACTAGATTGCTGATTTTTTAGAGTAAAAACTTATCCTACAAGATAATGTTTCTATCTGGAACATATTCTAATTTCATTGTCTTCTGATTTTCACAGATCGAGATCTTACAAGAGTCACGAATGATGATTCCAGACTGCCAACGCAGACTAGAAGTTGCACATGCAGAGCTTACTCAACTACTAGTGAGTATTGCATCACACCCCAACTGATGAAGAAGTGCTGCAGTTCCTGGATAAACAACTGCAGCAAATAAAAACTGGATTAAAGAATTTTCTGTAGGTCCCAAGACCAGCATCCTATAAGATACCAGTTTTTGCTTTAGATAGCAGTCTTTGCAGACTTGGTCTTCAGTCTGTGGAGACTTTGTGTGTGTGTTAGAAGCTGTCCTTAATGTAATGTACATTGAACATACACTTATCCCAGACTGTGAAAATGGACTCAGAACTCCTGTCCTAGTTCCCTCATGAGAAAAATCAGTTCACTTACTTTAGGTTTTATAGATAGTATAAATGTATATAATATGCTTGTACAGAACTGAAATTGTCAGGTACTTTGGTTACTACTCCTATTATGCTATGGACAAGTCAGAGGAGTCCTTGCTGAGTATTGCTTAATGTTTTATGAAGTGAGCAGTACTGCCCTGCTTTTTAAGATAAAAATACCTTTAGGAATAAAGAGTATGTTGTACAAATAGATTCACTGGACCTATACTATGTTTGGAGATGATAATGCTTATTTTAAAAGCTGCCTTCTCATCAAGAATTCAGCTACACATGTTGGTGCATAATAAATGGTATTGTGAGGCTAAAAATAAACATCCTAAATTATGTCCCAGATATAGTGATGGCTAAAATGCAAATACTTTTTTAATGGAAAAGTCAAGGTGTCCTAATCTCAGGTAGTCTGCCTCTACTGTTGGCCAAAATAAATTCTCAGTACCTGGCAGGATTTAGGGTCCTTTTGTCGCTCATCTAGTTACTGAACAGTTAGTCTAAATTTCAGTGGTGTGCAAAAATGGTGCTGTTGATCCATAGTATGCAAACCTAAAACAAGGAATGGGGACAGTTACTATTGCTGTTAAGAATTTGGAAGTCTTCATGTGTTTCTTTCTGTGCTTAGCTCACCTTCAATGCATTTATTGAAATGTACTGTATCCTAGTATGTTTTTCAATTGTCAGTCTACTTAAGCATTTTTCTAAGAGTACTCTTAATCTGAAGTTTGTTTTTACTCGTCCCTTGGTTTTAGATATTCAACACTTATCAAATAAAGGTATGCATAGGTCAAATCCACTTGCATATGACAGGCATTATCTGGGACCTTAAGCAGGACAAAAGAATTTACCTGTGCTTTGAGTAACACAGAATGTGTGTTTTCAAAAATTATATATTCCTCATTTCATAGAACGGTTTGGGTTGGAATGAACCTTCAAAGATCATCTCTTCCAAATCCCTTGCAATGACCAGGAACATCTTCAACTACATCTGGTTGCTTAGAGTCACATGGATGTGATGCCTACCACCTCTTTAGGCAACCTGTCCCAGTTCTTCACCACCCTCCACTGTAAAAAACTTCTTCTTTTTATCTAGCCTGAATCTATTCTCCTTTAGTTTAAAACCATCACTGCTTGTCCTGTCACAACAGGCCATACTAAAAAGTCTGTCCCTGTCTTTCTTGTAGGCTTTACAAACCCAACTTTCAGCCTGTCCAGAAAGGAAGGTGCTCCAGCTCTCTGACCATCTCTGTGGCCTCCTCTGGACTCCCTCCAGCAGGTCCCTGTCCTTCCTGTGCTGGGAGCCCAGAGCTGATGCAGCCCTGCAGGTGGGGTCTCAGCAGGGCAGGGCAGAGGGGCAGAATCCCCTCCCTGGCCCTGCTGCCCACCCTGCTCTGGATGCAGCCCAGGACACGTGTGGCTCTCTGGGCTGGGAGTGCCCATGGCTGGGTCATGTCCAGCCTCAGCCACCAGCACCCCCAATTCCTTCTGGGCAGGGCTGCTGGGATCTGTTCATCCCCAGCCTGTGCTGGTACCAGGGCTGCTCTGACCCACGGGCAGCATCTTGCACAATGGCCTTGTTAAAACACATGAATTTTTCCATGGGCCCACTTCTCAAGCTTGTCCAGTTCCTCTGGATAGCATCCCATTTCTCAGTTGCATCAGCTGAGCTACTCAACTTGAGTAGCTGATGGTGTTATCTGCGCATTTATGGATCTCACTTTCTGTGTCATTAATGAAGATATTAAATAACACTGTTCACCATACAGCGCCCTAAAGGACATCGCTGGTTGCTGATCTCCATCCAAACATTGAGTCACTGACCAGTTCTCTGGCTGTGACCATCCAGCTAATTCCTTATCCAGTGAAGAGCCCACCCATCAAATCCACTTCTCTTCAATTTAGGGAGAAGGATGTTGTGGGGGACCATATAGTCCACAATGATAATTCCCTTTTTGCAGTCTTTAAGGACTTCACCTGACTGCCATGGCTTTTCAAATGTCATGGAGAGGAGCATGGCAACTGCATCAGGCAATTCTCCAGGACTCTGGGAAGCATCTTGTCAGGTCCAACAGACTTAGGTAACTCACATTCAGGTTCCTCAGGTTGTCATGTACCTGATCTTTACTTACAGTGGGAGGGACTCGGCTCTCCCAGCCCGTTTCGTAGTCCATCCACTTGAGACCTGTGAGAAGATGCTACCAGTAAGACAGAAATATTGTAGAGTACCTCAGCTTTCTCCTTATTTGTTAGCAGTTTTTACCTTCTTAAATTTAATACCACAACAGTTATTTTCGGTACTCAAAAATGTTGCTTTTGATTACAGGAAAATGAAAAAGAATTGGAAGAAGCTGAAGAGTATAAAGAAGCACGTTCCATACTGGAGTCAGTGAAGCTGGAAGCCTAGCTGTTTTCCAGTTCTCTCCTTATATGCATTAGCACGGGGTCCATTCCACAGTTTCATTTGATTATGGCTCTACTACTTTTGTTGACTTGCTAAAGTTCCCTTTATGCAAACTGAGCTTTCTCTAACTGCAAGGTGCATCAAATAAAGAATATTCTGAAACATTTGTGTGTTCCATATTCGGGCAAAATAGATATATTTCCAGTTCACCTCAATTAAAAAAAAAAGAAAAATAAAGCCCATTTAAAGTAAGTGTATTAGTTAATATAGAGAACTTAAATCTGAACAGTTCAGGCTAAGAAACAAAGTTTGGCTATGTGAGGAACCACTAATTACTTAAGAATGAAACATCTTTATAGAATAGTTTGGGTTGGAAAGGTTCCATCTAGTTCCAACCCCAACATGGGCTTCAGAAGCACCTTATATTTGAAATAATATACATTACAGCATAAAAATCTATACTGAAAGAGAAGGTAGAGCAAATAACCCTTCCCAGTCACCTACCTTTTTTTTATGGTGCAATTTTTCTGTAGTTTTATCAAGTATGTACTCCTTGTTTACTTTTGAGTCAAAGGCAAAAGCTGACTCCAGATCTTTCTCAATGTGCATGGCACTAAGTTGAGCCAAATTCATACAACTTCCATGCATCAAAATTCTTCTGCTTTTCGGGAAACAGGATTTAGCAGGTGACTAGTATATTGTGAGTTGCATCTGCTAATAAGAGTTCTGGACTGAATGCTTTTCTTGAGAGCACTTTGGCCTAAGTGATTTTTTTTTTTAACAAAATTCAAACCCCAAGACACAAAAGAGAGCTAAGGGGAACTAATGGGTAAGGGAACAACACTTAGTCTGCCCGGAAGACCATTAAAACATTATGTACAAAAGCTGTGGTTTTTTTCAGAGTAGCTTCTCTAAAGCAAATAGTAAGTTCTGTTGATAAACAAGGAAGCTTTTTACATTAGTTTTTCTAGTTTGAAAGTGTTCTGGCATGTTTCTTAAAGGCAACACAAAGCACAGTGTACCTTTTGTGTGGTGCTAAATTGAATATTCAATAAAATTCTTTGTTAATTTGCCTGAGTTTGAGTAAACTGCTGTTTCAGTACTTACTTATGTACCTTAAGCACATTTAGAGTAATGTCTACTTCTTCATCACTGTTAAGCACTGCTCTGGAAGATCAACACCAAAAGATTCCTGATTGGATCAGTCAGAATGATCTACTTTTGAAGTGACCCCAGACCAGTACCACAGAGGGCTAAGAGGTGAAACCTGTTTTGACAGTACAGTTCCATAAGAGAACATGCCTGACTTCTTACCAGCATTGTGTTCTAGACATGGAAGTCATGTTTGCCTAATATGTCTCTGTAGAAGCCAAGCAGACACTGCCTGGGTCACAGCACATATGAAGTGCTACTGAGGAAAATATCCGTCTTTGGACACTCATTCACCCAGCTGAATGACCAGTCTGTGACCTCCACTGGGAAAGGTGGCTGGAGTGCACAAAGTGTGTCACAGCTGAAAGACTGCAGCATGAGTCTGCTTGCAGCCATTGAGTGGAGTATGGTGAATAAATGCTGAGCTGAAAAGAAGTGTAGGGAGATGCCAAGTCTGCTGGGTAAAGTAGGGTTTAAAATAAAAATTGCTCTTCAGAAGAAGAAAGAATACACACTTCTGGAAAACAAGCCCAGATAAAAATTATGTGCAGTTGCTGACTACCACAAAAAATGCATGTGAAAGCTAAACAGGTGTGACCTATAGTGGCTGAAGGGAAGTAGGATTGTGACATGGCTTAAGGCAGCATTTAGAATGAAAGTCACATAGCCTTGAACTACCACACAAACTTTAAACTAAGAAACATTTCTTAGTGCAGTAGTTTCTAGGGTGAGTGGTTTCTCATGTTTGCCTAATATGTCTCTGTACAAACCATTTCCTAGCTCCCTATTACTGCATCATGGACCAAGATGATACTCTGCCCTACTACTAAATTCTCTAAAAATGAACATGTTCTGTAGTACAGGAAGTAGCCAGCTTCAAAATCAAGGTATGTTCACACCTGAAAATACTGTCTCCAGATGCCTCTGGAACTGTCTTAACTTCTGAAGGCAGCATGTTTTCAGACTGCCAACATCCTTTAGGAGAAGGAAAGAGCTAAATGTACACAAGTATTTTGGGTGAAATCCACAAAAAGCATAAACCACACAGAGCTTTTCTATTTCCCTGTAACAAATATCTTGTTTTGGCAACCCACCTTCCCCATCTCTGGTGAAACCTTTCAAGGGAGCTGCAGTCAATCTGTGTTCTAACACTTGGGGCATGAGGGGTGGGGGTCCTTGGTCTAACTCAAGAGGTTCAGATCAAGGAAGAGGCTCAATTACTGAGCCATACTTCCTCCTAATAGACTGAGGTCCTCAGAATTGCCACATTAGTGTGACAGGTGGCTGGCCGCACAGCTCCTTAAGACTGGGCAATCACCAAGAATTTACTACTAAAATTGGATGGGCTGATCATCCCAAAAGGTACAGTTCTCTTCAAGAGACCTATATGACGAAAGAAGTAGAATAGCAAGTCTGTGCATTTAATATGTAGGTGATACAAGGGTGTTCAGTATCTCCAAGGACAGTATCAGAAAACAAAAGGTTCCTGACAAACTGGAGAAAATTTGAAATACTTATTTTAGTAAGGACACATTTAAATAAGAAAATAAAGCAGACTTACACATGGCAGCAGCAATTTTCTACTGCACCAACATAGGAAAAAGTCAATGCTGGACACCATTTCTGAGAGATATAGAAGAATTTTAGTGTATTACATGCAAAACATTAGTTTAGCTCATAAGACACGGCCAACAACCTTTACACTCCCCTTTTTATTAGAAAGGTTTTATCTAGAAGCTGCAACTAAAAGAGATGAACAAATAAGGATTGAAAGGAAAACAGTGAAAACTATGAAAAAGACTGAAAAATGGTCTATGCAAAAGAAGGAACAAATCCAGACATTTTAGCCTGGAAAGTACTGAGGGTAGCAGTGGTAATAATCTTCAAGCGTAAACAGAATTACAGAGGAAAATAATAAATTTTTCTTGGCAGACAGAGTAAGATGCAATGAGCTTGAGTTACAATGAGGGGAAAAAGTATTTGACAGGTTCCTTCCTTAGGAAACAACTAAGACAAATGAAGCTCTAGAAGAGACTGTCCATGGAGGCTGTTTGAGCTGCCTTCCTGGAGGTCTTCTCTTGACCAGGCAGCTCAGTCACTCATGACACAGGGACCACTGATCCTGCCTCATATTTACACATTAGGGAAAAGCATCAAAAGGTGGATAAGCATTCATAGTTTCTCAACAACACTTCTCTCCTCACTCAAAAATACAATAGAGTTGTTACACAGCTGAAATTAATGACTTTGAATACAGCACAGAGGAGATCCCCAGAGTCCCCTCAAAGGAGACAATTCAGTGATACCTACCTGACTTTTCAGATGTTGCACTGCACATAACAACACAGGACACAAAGAAGGTGAAAATGGTCTTCCTTAATGAAAGGACCAGATTAACTAATTTTTTCTGACTTTCCACTTCCTATTCACATTTCTGAACACTTATCAAACACACACAATGGTCAAAAATACTTCAGGTTCCCACTTGTCATTTTATTTTATGTGTTAATTTGTGCACAAATGAGCTCATTCAGGGCAAAGATAGGAAGCAAGTTTGAAGTGCAGCTGAAATCAGAAGGATGGAACTTGCAAGGTAAGAAGTGAACTGTGAGGCCTGCTGTAAAAAACTGCAAGGGAAGTAGCAAATTTAGTTCAAAGAAGAAAATGTTTTCTCTATGGCCTAACCATCTTAACAACCCTTCTCCCATCTCATCTCTCAGGGAACCCACTTCTAAGGACGCTGAACAGAAAATACAAAGGAGAACCACTTCTGGGTTCTCTTCCATGTGCAGTCTTGGCTATGCTCTGTTACCACATGTAACGGGAGGCTCACAATAAATCCAAATTATGGGCTTAGGACTTCAGAGGTGATGGCGAAAGGGATCCATAATTGCCACCTTCCCCAGTTTTCTGAACACAAATTCAACCACAGTGAAAGAAACAGCTCTTGAACTGTGCAGAGTGCTTGCTAGCAAATCTCAGCAGCCAGCATTTCAGGGCAAACATCACCACTCTAGAACCGCTCAACATTAAGATTACCTTTAAAAGAAAGAAAAAAACTTCTACAACAGTTTCGTTTTCTTAGTGTTCTGAAGTTACTGTAGATGTTACATTACATGGAAGGAGACCCAGTAACCCACTGAAAGAGCCTCAAGTAATAAGGTTAACAGAGGCTGAATAGGTTGAAATTGGAAAAATAAGCATATTATTTATGTATCAATTACTACTTGCTCTCCATTTCAACAAAAGGAAATAAAATTTTCTCATCTTTCCTAACAATCCAGAGGCCTCCTTCTGCCCCTGCATAATTAGCAGTAAATTTCACCACAGCTCTCCATAAGCAATCAAAAAGGCTACCTAATTAAAAAAGTAATTAGTTTACACAGATAGATATGAGTGGGTAGATTAGTTGATGAAAATAAAATTAAATTCCTCTGGATGCTTTTAGTGACTCAGCTTTCTGCTCTGTTGCAGCTTCTACACATTTCTAAAGGAGCAGGTTAAAAATTAGTACAAAATACTTCATTTGTAAACGAATAGAGTATCTTTCAAACCCAATTGATCAGATTTGGCTTGTCTTCTGTTTTCAACACAGAAGATAAACTTCACATTTTATGAAGTATAAAAATCAGTGCCTCCATAAAAGGACTAATGAGTTATGTTTCATTTTCTCAGATCACTTACACAATACCTAGGCACCAAACTGAACCAATGCTGCACCTGTTAAAGGAAAGTTGGAACACTAACACCT